AAGTTGGTTTGGGAAGTTCTCCCCCACCCACCATATTCTCCACATATGGCACCATCAGATTACTATCTTTTTCGTTCACTGCAACACCATCTTTATGGGAAAACGTATGCAAATGTGCAAGGTGTTAAAGAGGACATCGACATGTTTTTCGCTTCAAAGCCAAGTGATTTCTTTAATCAGGGCATTAACAACCTGATTGTCAGATGGAAAAGCATCATCAATGAGAATGGAGACTATTTCATTTAACAAATTTTGTGTTTTGATATACAAGTTGTTTGGGGTTTTTCATTTAAAAAAGCAACATTAATTTCTTGACAACCTAATATAAGAGTATATTTATAATATATGATTTCAGATTGAAAAAAAGTTGAGAAATGGGGGGGAATCCACACATTTCTATGAACACATACAGTCATTAAAATAAAATGGATAAAAGATTGAAGAAACTATGTATTAACGACATCAGTAGTTATAGTTTTTTGTGTAAAATATATCAAACTGAAATCAATTTTAAAATTTTGTATTTGATTTCTTAAGCCCTTACTTCTTATGCTTTTAAATACAACACTTTATGATCTAGTGTAAAAATTACTTACACTTGTAATACAATGTATGATGCTTATTTAAAATGACAAATAAAAAATCAATCATGAATTAAAGGAAGCCATGAAATATGTATAAACTCAAAAGTTTTAAAGATTGTACGTGAATGTTTTTTTTTCAAGTAAATTATATTACATTTCAAATAATTTCATAAAAAAAACTATTTTTTTTGCAGGCCTCAATAAATCCTGGGTGCCAGGTCTCCATGACAACTAACATATCATCATGGCATCTAGTATTTTCTTCCATTTTATTTATGCATAGGGCTGTGCTAAAAAGAACTCAAATCTAGAACAAATCTTGGAAGTCCGGAACTATTTTGGTGTTCTTCGAGTCCTAAATTGAACTTTGTTTCTATGATTTTAATGGCAAATTCAACACTTCATGCTTTTTCAAGAATGAAGTACTGCAGTTGCATAACATGTTACTAATTTCACTCATTCCAACCAATCAGTGCACGTGTTTAGACTCGAACAGGACCAAAGGCAATTAATCCAGGCAATACTATCAAGTATTTGTTGATATCATGTGATCATTAGCATGCACTTGTTGCTGTGAAAGTAAATAAATATACATAGCCCCCCATTACCTGGTACAAACAGTAGTGAAGTTAGGTTAGGTATACCTGATTTCTGAGGTTTTGGGTTAGTTCCTAGATTGTAAAATATTTGTTGAGGCCTGTCTTGGGGGCTTATAATTGATTTCTCTTATTTATTCTAATATTACAAATTTCCATTTGTTTGTTTATATTCAGTTTTTTTAGCACTTTTTATTGCTCAATTGCACTGCATGTGGTTTACATTAAAAACAATGATTATATTCATTTATCATGAGTTTTAATAAGAAATTACAAGAATGGCAACTTGCTTTGCCTAAATATATCTCCTTGTGTTATTACCATGTTCAATTCAAAGACATCTTTGGTTTGATTACATTGTAGCTTACTACAGAGTTCAATATAATTGGGAAATTTCACAGATATTAGGACTGTAAAAATATGTTTACCTCATAATTTGATACAAATCACATTACATAAATTTGTTAGTAGAGCAAATAAAAATGATCAATATGATCAATACTGTGCTTTTGAAAAAAATTGAAATTTATTTCTTACAGTGTAACTGTTGATCATCTGGAACATCAACTTTATAACAAAAAATATCAAAGGCACTGTCTTATATAATCATTCACATAAACTTCTTTGTCCATAAACACTGTCAAAATTGCAGATTGTTGTTTCAAGTAACAAGACAGAGTGTAAAAACTAGAATTACACCCAGTTGAAACATCTAGAAAAAGAAAACTACACCCCCCTCCACTTGCAACACACAAAGACCTTCCTGAGTTACAAAATTAACAGTGTGAGAAAAGCACTGCACATGGGGTGAGACTTCTGCCGGTTTTACTGCATTGCAAACATTATTTCCATTATCAGTTGTAATAGCTGGATTGTTAGATATTTTCCAATCCAAATAAGATACAGCATCTTTCAGTACATCCTCCATGTGCTCAGCCATAAGCCACTCATTTAACTCTCTTGTTTATGGAGCAGAATTTTTTATCTCCCAGTTTTTATTTATAAGATGCCCAGTACCAGCAACATCTTGAAGCTCATCTACCACTGACAATGGCAACAGAAGAAGCACCTTTCAGTTCAATATCAAGCTTGTCATTTTCCTCTTTGTATAGGTCTGGAATTACTACAATACTGAAGTCTTGGAAAGAATCTCATATCTTTGTTCCAAAACCTTAAGCAGAGTCCTAAGGCCAAGACTATCCACCACTGAAAATGGTCTCATGTCTTTAACCAGAAAGATTCTAATAACTCTTGTTATCTCTATTTCTCTTTGACTTTGTGTTTAATTTCATTTTAAATACTTCTGGGAGTTTCAGTTGAGGAGCACTGTGACCTTTATTTCTCACAGAAAAAGAAACTTGTGAGAGTTTATCTTTAATTTCTTGAAACAAAAAAAAATATGTTTTCTCACCTCACAAATTTTACATATTGTTTTCAAACAACCAGTTTTCCTTACTCTGTTTTGATTCAAAACTTCAAACCTAAAATATTTCCCAACAGCTGATCTGTAAGATGGAGATGTGTCCTCTATTTTATGCTTTGATGAGTCAGTCATTGTTAACACAGCAAATGGTAGTTTTTTTTTTACTATTTATTGAATGATTTGATATGCAATACTCATGAGAAATTAGTAACCCAATTAACAGAACTTACAAGCTGCATTGCTAAAAATAACAATCTATATAACAGTTATACAGAACATACTGTCATGCATGCCCTGGAATGCAAGATTAAATTTGTAATTTATATATTTAAAGCATTTGTTTTTCTAAAACTTAACAGGACATTCATAAAAAGAAGAAATTAATTAAACTGCAAAACAATCAAACTGCAGCCAATGAACTGAGATGAATCATATTCTTAGCCTTAAAGGATATGCAACCTAGCATTGTTTTTTTATCAGAGTTATGATCTAAAAATGTGATGTGTGAAAAATATGACAATAGTTAGACCTGACCAACAGATTTACTTCAATACTGCATAATTGCAAGAGCAAAAACTGAATATGCCTTTGTACAGCATAAAAAAAATGTTTGGAATAATTTCCCATTTTAAAAAACAACTGTAAATAAAAAAAGAAAGAGAGAGAGAGATTATCACAACATTTTTTATTAGATTTTCAACTTCTGCTGTTAGACTATAGAGGTATTGTAATAAAATTCCACAATGGCATCGAGGTAAAATAAAGTAAGTCCAGGCAAAGGATATAGGGATCAGTTATTAATGACCCAATTACTGCCCTGTTACAAATGTTTATTGATAACTTAAATTTTTTACTTTTAACTTGTATTATTGTATTTATTTTGATTTGCATTATATTTATTAAGTCATTGTGTATTTTTGTCATTAAATACATTTTTATATCAGTTTGCTGTAAGCAAATTTTGTTCAAATATCTGTTTTAAGAATTGACTAAGTCAGAGTATAAGGTAAGTTAAATATTAAAACACAAAACATCACTGATGAATTAACTTAGGAAGAAGATTGCTTCAATTTTCAACAATATAATTTCTGCAAATAAAACTATTTATACAGTCATTTATCTATTTTTTGTCTAAATCTTTCCCAGTATTTTGTATTGCTGGATCAGTGCTAGCTTACCACATCACATACAAAATTTTCTTCTGGAAAACATTAGTAATATTTTGATTTTGTAATCTCAATTTATAGTACATAGTGGCTTGTGATTTATGAGTTTATATTTGTAGGGTCGAGGAAAAGATGGATATGAGAGAAACAAACTAGTCTCATGTCAGTTGAGCTTCTCAATAGAGAACAGTTTCACCTACATTCCAGATGGTAGAGAATTTTGTAAAGATGCTACTTCTCCTAGCCACAGCATCTGTAACCATGTCTGAAAACAGGTAAGACATACTTTCTGCCTCAGAGATTGTGAAAAGAGTTCAGTACTTCTCAGCCTGCTTCAGAATGTCAGGATGCCAAACAAGAACAAAAATGACTTAACAGTAAATTTCTTGCTTAAAGAGAAAATAACACTGAAATATGCTGAAAAATACAGGGAAAAGAAGGTTTTTTTAGTAGCTAATGTGAATCTGGCTGCAATCAAACCATGTAAGGTGTAAGGATAACCTTCCAGAAAATAGACAACACAGACTGTTTTTGGGACAAGGAAACAGTAGATCAAGGTTTCTTCCAAGAGTGTTACAATGTTAATAAAAGAACAAGTGGCAGTAAATTGTGCAATTTTACAACAGGAATAAAAAAATTTAACTCCGATATTTAACTGCAAGTCTTTTCTTTTACAAGTGTCATTAAGATCAGTCCAAAGAACACTAATTTACATATTGTTTACCACCAATAACAAGGTAATGTGAAAAGGAAATTTATAGTTATGTATGTTCAATTAGTTATTTCAAGGTCAATGTATATTTGGATCAAACTGCAATGAATACAGACATCAGAAATAACAATACTGTAATATAAGTCTGCCAAAATACTGACATTTTCAATATAAAAAAATGTGAGTATCGACTATAGATAAAAAAAAACTTTGGCACACAAAGTACTATAATTTTAATCAGCTTTGGTCTACCATTCACACCTGTAAAACAGAAATTTACAATACAAAATATAGCAGTTCAGTGAAAATATTTAACATGAAAAGTTTACAATATATTTCAATGCAAATAACTGTTGTACAACTGACAAAACCAAATATATCCTAGCAGTAAAAATTATACTTCAAGTGACAGTACTTATTGAGAATAATTTATTGAAAAAAATTGTATTCACAAAATAATATACTAAGAAAAAATCTAAACTATTAATAAACTTGCCTTTGCTGTTACTATAAGTTTGTTTTGAGTCATATCTATTGGACTTGTCTTCAGTCTTTGGTAAAGTAAACAGGTCTTGGAAAAATGAAAATACTGAATCATCCAACTTCCCTTTTTTGACATCTTTGATGCCAGCTGTTGATTCCTTTTTTGTATTATGTCTCCTAAATGGTCTAGCTCTTGAATATCTGATGGTTTCTTGGGATCTGGATTTGTTTCTATCAAAGTGGAAGTATTCTGAAGAGATCCAGCTGAAATTACTACTGTTTTTGGACTCGAATCTTCTCGTGATTCTGCTGACATCTTTACCACTCTCATTAAATATGCTACTGCTGGGTGGACTTCTTTTTCGCCTTCTCTTAGATGTGGAATCTTCTTGAGAATCCCTTCTTCTTATTATTGGCATCTGATATCTATCTCTTTCTTCTCTACCATGATTATCAACCATGCTATAATGCCTGACTGAGCTCTCCAAGAAGAAGTTTTGATTTTGATTTTTTGGAGACCAACTCCTTTGATCATGTTCCCTTCTTTCACTACTACTGTTTTTCCTTTCCTTCTCCTTGGAAGATGAAACTTGACCCTGTATAGTATCTTTCAATCTTCTGTCTCTTTCATAATGCTGAATATCATTCATGGAGGTATCCTTTTTGTATTTACACTTTCTGTTTCTTGTACTAATTCTTTTACTTTCTTCTGTAGGTTCTGCTTCTTTCTGGTTGAGAAATGAAAGATTGTGTTTTCTTTTTTCAGATAACCTATGATGTTTATGGCACACATATGATGGGTTACGGTAGCTTTCATTGAAGGCAGTTTTCTCAACTAAAGAAGACTCTAAACCTGCATGCTTAGACTCCCTTTCTGATTCTCTGAAACTAGATTTGAATCCAAATCCTCTTCTAGCACTATGGTAACTATCTATTCTAGTTCCACTGCTGTCATTTCTTTTCTTAGCATTACTAGAACAACTTGAAGAAGACTTAGATTTCACTTCTTGAGCCTCTGAACTTGATGTATGTCTGGATTCTTTAGACATACTTGCAGGCTTAGAATCTGAAGTTTTTTTGCACTTGACTAATGTACATTTCAAGTCTCTAATACTTTCTCTTGACTTATGTGGGCAACTAGGTAATCTCCTCCTTTCAGATGGGAATGAAATTTCTTTACATTCAGAGTAATGTGGACCTTCTTCAATAACTTGCTTGATCCTAGACTTACATTTTGAAAAGATGCTATCAGTCGTAATGTACATTTGTTGTCTTCCATAAAACTTCTCTAGTTGTTTACACAAATCTTCTAATGCTTTTAGATATTTTGAATTCATTTCCTTTAGATTACCAACAGGAAATTTTCTTACATATTTTGGTATGTGTTTCTCCTACAGTGGTCAAAAGTGAACAGAGCAGTAAATTACTCTCATGACAAATGTAAAGTTTCACCATTTTTATTTAAAAATCACTCTAACAACAACAACAACATGAAATTGATATGCTAGAAACTGTAAAATGCAGGAAGTGTTGGTATGTGCAAGTTTACATCACAATCCAATTAAACTTAATGCTATATAAAATGCCCAAAATAAAATATTATTCAATATGCAGTAAGTGAAATTTTCATATACCCTTGCAACTGGAATATGTTATTTTTTGTAATGGAAACATAAAAAAAAAAATCAAAATAATGTTCCATTACAAATTTTGCTTTAATAATAAAAGATTAGCAAAAAAAACAACAAGCTTTTAACTTTAAATAAATGACTAGTAACTTCAAGAAATTATACTTATTTCTTCCCTCAAGTTTTCAGTAATACAACTTTGTTCAAGGGAACCTACTTTTAAGACTGTTATAGTAGTATGTCACTCCCAATGAAGTTTCGGGAGTTAGAAGTCATTGTTTTAATTCAATTATGTGTAAGCTATTCTAGCATATTCTTTGGTATTTTAAAAATAATACTGACAAGGAAAAAAGATTTGGAAACATTTTATACTTATTTCTGCCAATATTAATGGAATGTGGCCATTTGTCATACCACAGCTGATAGTCATGTATAAGTAGATAATTGTGCACTGGCTGAAAGTTTATTTGAGTGAGGTTGTAACACAAGAACTTATAATTTAGTAAGATTTCAATTGTACAAAATAAGCAAATAAACACCCATCCATAAAATTATACAAAATTAAACAAATTACACCACAAAAAAGTTATAGTACATTGTTTTTATTAAACAATAACAACATTCATTGATTCAAAAATGTTACCTGTGCACTTTACTTCTTTAATGAATTTATGTTTATGGCAATTTTTTATTAATTGCCAGGTTAAGAAGTTCTTTAGATTTAGGTAAATAATATTATCTTCTTTGTAAACTTGGGTGAACAGATCTGAAAGTGAGTAATAAACTTTCTAATATTTAAAACACTTGCATTGTAGTGATCGAAAAAGCTTAGCAAATGCTTTAACTATGAATATATATACTGCATTTTAGAGAAAGTAAAGGAAACATTTCATTACACAAAAGAAAAAAAAAGAATCAGCATGTTAAAACAAGTGAACACTTTTAATGTATAAAAAACTAAGAACACAATATTTTGTTATGTAATACTTACTGTATTTGCCAGAATGATTGAAGTTTATGTTAATATGACAGTTACCAGCTTCACCATATATAATAATGCCAAGAAATGACCACTCAGTAGGCCTCTTTTCCACTTTGTGACACAATTCTTATGTATAAGTAGTAGCTTAGGTATCTTTATATACACCTCAATTTACCTGAATAGCACCTTAAGTATTACACACATTGACAAGTTACATCAAAAATATAGATCACATTTACCATTAAAGCCATTCTGCAAATTCACATTTGGATGATTAAAGTACAGTAATTATAAACAACTTATATTTTACAATATTTCAATACCTAATATAAATTATACATTATTACAACGTTCACTTAACTAATGCAATGCGTGAATATTACTTAGTACATGTCAGATCTTCATAAAATCCTTACTCAGTATTAATGGCACGTGTCTATATTAGAAAACAGATATTATACCAAAACATAGTTGATAATAAAACACAAAAGGTAAAATTCTGACAAGGTCACGGTTTTAATTAACCATAAAGTTCATTACCAGAGCCAAATAAGATAAACATCATTCTGCTAAAATTCGTTAAAATACATACATTTCAAAGAGGGGTTATAAACTCATTCAGTCAACTGATACACAACACTGTGCAAAGACCATTTCATGCCTTATCTGTTCAAAAACTTTATACTCTAAAACATATACACATATTGAGGAAATCAAGCTAATAACACAGGTCTGTGAATTTAAAGTTCATAAAAGTTGTTTTGGTTTTAATAATGGATTTTCCGTAATTCAGCTACACAGATTTCGAAAATAATATTCATTTTTTTTCTATCACATAAGGATTTTTTACAAATTGGGAAGAAAAAACTTACTTAATGAAATTATTATTTTGTTTGAACATTTTTTATTATTAAGTTTGTTAATAAAACACAAACAAACTGAAGAAAAGAGAAGAACATTGATGTCAAACTATAATTCATCCTCATTTAACCAGATTTTTTGTGTGAAATCTATGTATTTTAGTCTCAAAACTGTGTTGTGGTCTTTCTTTAATGTACTGCATCTGGAGCATCTCGTTTCAATGACCAGCAGTATTCAGGCATCATGCTGATCTTCCACCTTTCCTGATACCACCTCTCCATTTACCTGATGTCTTAATGAAACCTTTCCAGATGTTTCAGGTTGAAAACAATCCCTATCCTCATTTTTATTGAAATCAGATTCAGAATGAGATGAAACTGTATCAATAGTCTCCAGTGGAGTAGGTACAGGTACATAAGGTCCATGAATAACAGGTCTTATAGCACATTGAAAGTTTGGATAAGAAATTTCCTTTTTATTTTAAGTGTTGTAGCCTTGCGTGTTACATGAGCAAAAATTGCAGTCATCTCCATGGTTTCTAGGCTCATGCCAGACCATTGGAATTCCACAAGGCAAAGACTTTGTCTTACCTTTAGTCCATTGTCTCAACTCTTCGACACAAATGATGTAAACTTTGTGCAGAGTCTATGATTTGTCTTGGTCCCCAAGTTATATTTCAAAATATGTGTAATATGCTTGTTTGATGAATTTTGAATTGTTATGCATTTGCTTCTTTACAACAAATTTATAACAGAGTTACCTTACTTAAACAACCTCTTGTTACCATAGCAATGAATAAATAATATTGAAAAGAAAAAAATAATATCAAAGTGCACGCACAAACAAATACTACCCAGAAATGACACATCACGCAGAGTGTTAACTGTTTATATACTAGCGGTGTGTTCCTCGTAGGTTCTAGGATGATCAATAAGACTCTTCCATTGTGATTGGTCTAGAGAAATCTACATCCAGTGGTTGTCAACATTTTAAGCATAACAAAATGTGACCTGATTTCAATGAAAATGATTTACTTATGTAAAAGTACATGACATTTTGTGAAAAATCTGTATGTGATGGAGAAAAATGGACATCATTTTCAGATTCAGTGTACAGTAATTACTGTGGAACACGTAAAAATTTCAAAACAATAAAATCATAGCAATTATTATGTTCAAACTTCAACCAAATAAGTAGGAGCACATAGTTCCAAATTATTACAAAATGCTAAAATGATATGTGACATTGTATAATAACAAAAAAGACTGAATGCTAGTTTATACTTTTAAGTCATTAATCAAGTGAAATGCACAAATCAATATTCATAGTTTAACTACTTTTAAAATAAGTTCTGATAGGGTGACAGCCATATGGTATAATCTTAATATGATATATAAATATTGTTATAGACAGTTTAGATATATGAATGAAATTTTTTGTAATTGATCGCTTGCCTGTGCACATAATAATCCCAACTACAAAAGTAATATATAGTAAAATAAAATACTTGCTGAACTACATATTTAAACAGATACACAAGAAAATAAAAAATGGTTGGCACACTATATGCACCCTTTACTCAACAATTCACAACTACGATAAACAAAACGAAACAAATTTTGATAATAATGGTTAATATACAATATCTATAACTACATGTTATAGCAAACAAAAATACATTACAAAATTGACAGTAAGTAAAATTAACAATTTAGTTTGCTTTTATCCTTAGCAATAGTTCTTTGTTCCATGCACATCAAGAACACAAATTGACAATGAATGAATCATATAGAGGTGACTCACTGACAGACCTAGTGTCATATTCTGCAAACTAATGATTAATTTTGAGCATTCTATTGTATTCTACTTGTGCCTGAAACAAATGTAAATCAACCCAACCACCACTATCAAAAATAAACACAACAATAATGTTACATGGCTATACTCATAAAGACAAGTTAACAGTCAAGGAATTTATTAACCATAAGCTTGTTTAAGAGCAAAAAAATAAATCTCTGTTTAAGCATAATAAAACGCATACTTATTTAATAGTAAAGAAAATATTTTCTATCCATAAAAAAATTCACTTTTATAAGAAAGAGCCTTTAACTTTCCCAACAATGAGGCCTGGAATCTACAAGTGCATGATCAGAAGTGAACCAGTGCTTCCACTGATTAGCTTTTCAAAGCTACACTAGACTGAAACCAGAGAAATAGCTATAGATAATCCTGTTAACTAAAAGAGAAAGTCAGAGCATTATTAAAAGTACTTTTAGTCTTATCTTCTGGATGGGTGCTTATAATATTTCATGCCTAAATTTATATACCTTGTTGCTCCTTTATTTTAGGGAAATAAATTATCTTTTTATTGGTTCAGCTTAAATGTGTTTAAAATGTTCAAGTATCTACAATATAAATTTTTCAGTGATCTTTGTTATCCTTTGAATTGTATAAATAGAAGTAGAGTTTTCTGCCTGTTAACTTTTGATTTTGAACAGAAAATTTTTGCCACTTTTACAAAAAGTATCAGTCACACTGTAAATGTGTACTAAATGCAAGACAACTGTGTGAAGCTCATGGTGTAATGCAGTTAGCTCTGAGCACCAACTAAATCTAGTTCACACTGAAACAGTTGTTGTTCAAGCAATTAATGATATAAATAGCAGCTCAATATTACTACACTTACCACATCCCAGCCAACCTTATGAACCCTGGTATTGATCGAAAGAACTCACTGGCACTGTATGTAGCAGATATAATGTCGTTAACATATTATTACAATCTTATTTACTTTCACTCATGAGTTCTTAAAATTGAATGAAGTAATTAAAATAAAATAAAAATCTCTGTTCACATTTATTAACCAATTATTAGTCAGACATAATCAGCTATATAAGTGATTACTGACCCAAACTTCCTC